TTTATAAATACATTTCACCCACTTTTTTAAAGCTTGTTTAGTGCCCATGTAACAAGTGATGGCATGAAGCTGCATCACTTTTAGCTTGGATCACGTCTTCTTTGAATCAAAACAAAGGTTCTCAGTTGATGTGAAAATGCTGACAAGTTTTAATGCTCTGAGGTTACAGTCAAACTCGAGTGAAGACAGACGCGGGGGTCGCAGCCGTCACGACCCAATGTGCTGACAGTAGCAACGATGAAACAGCTCATTGAATCTGACATGTAGCTGCAGTTTCCTTCAGCTTTCCATCAGATAAGAGGACGAGGCGCATGGAAGACCTCAGGCCCTCCGCATCCTCTGRGGCTGGTTGGCATGATTGGGCCTGAGTGAACCGGAGCCAGAAGTTGCTTTTATATTCCAGTAATTAATGCAAAACATCCACATCAATCATCCGAGCGAACGCCACGAGTGGTGACTGTGAGTGTTTGACGCAGTAAATAACCACAGTTTATATTATGGAAGCTGTTTTGGAATTTTTCAATGTGAGCCTTCCTTTTTTTTTAACATATCAGTGTTTTCAGGTCCTCTCACAGACAGAATAATGCCCTGTTCTGCTCCACCACACAGGCCTCCTGCCTCCTTTAAAGACGATACACTTTCAGCACCACCAGTTTCCTGCTGTGCGTTTCATAAATGTTTGTCCTGCACGACTCCGGCCCCCCTCCCCGTAAAAAAGTTTGCTCGAGATAGCTGCACAACTCCTGCCAGCACTGATGAAAGAGAAATATAGATCGAGCCTGCTTCGACATGCCTAGCTGGAAACGAAAAGCCTTTTAGAAAACCACAATTAACTCAAACAATTCTCCTTRGGGGCGAGACGGTGAGTTTACGAGTTGTGCTGGTGATGTTCTGCGTGAAAGAATGAAGAGTTGTAGAGTTTATGTGTGCAATCTCATGCAATATCTGAAAAAGTAACGCTCGGAGTATGTGCARGACTCTCAGCTACTACCYTATTAAATTTAGCTCAATWTATGTTAAACAGACTGAGTTACAGCCATTTTTGTGTTGACRAATGTCAGTTAGCTGCAGCAGCCATATTAAATTGGATTGACTCCAAAAGTTAATCAGTTGTAGYTGCACATTCTCCAATAATATCCTGAAYGTTTCATTAAAATCCATGAAGTGATTCATAAAATATTTTGGTAACAGACAGACAGATTTGACTCCCAAATATTAATGACAATATTTTATACTAATATCTTTTACAATCTGTTGGTGCTCAGAAAACGTTTTGYGGATCAGTGTCGGCTACCTCCACACCAAATTTGAAGTCAACGTTTCTAAAACTGACTGAGTTAAAACAACTTTTGTTTTTTCAAGGCCGGTTGGCTGTGGTAGCCATCTTGAATCGGGCTGACTCCAAAAGTCAATCAGTTTTAGGTGGTCATCCAGTGATATTTTTCAGCGAGTTTTATCAAAATTTGTTCAGTGAGTTTGTGAGTTATTTTGCTAACAGGCAAGCCCACAAATAGCAGGCACAACATTATTAAATAGACTCCGTTAACATATCGTGGATTCTAATTAACTGCATCTTCGACAACAATTCTCAAATTAAAAACATTGTCCGTACAGTACCCCTGAATATCATAGATTTCACCCCCCCCACCCCCCCCAAAAAAAAAAAAAAAACCCTCAAATTAGGACTTTTCAACATGAACACACTCTTCAAAGGAAAACATGGGGGGGAAGTATAATTTTGCTTCTTCACTGTTAAACAAAGAAGGGGAAACAAAAGATTACAGGCAGCCCTGTGTCTCTGTTCAAACAGAGACTGAAATACTGRGGAGCAGAAATGTAATGTTGCACTAAATTACAGTCATTGAAAGCTTGTATGGTTACCCAGCTATCTATCACTGTCACCCAGAGAGAGAGGAGGGGGGAGGCCGAGCAGACAGGCGCCAGGCTCAGCAGGATCAAAGCAGAAACATACCTCAGGGAGAGAAACGGTTAACTCCATTTAACCAGTTGTCCTACAGACAGACAGACAGACAGACAGACTGGGAGTCAGTGTGGTGCTTCGGGCTGAGCGGCAGAAGAACAAAAACATCACATATTTTGGTTTCGCTGGAAATGATTTGACTTGATTCGGAGAACAAAAACCAATCTGAAGCCTCTTCACCGACACTCTTTATGGTCTGTCGAGGAGGATCAGAGACAAACAAAACACAACAGGATGAAATACGACCACAGACAATTAGATTACAGGCCYCAAGATCAAAATTTACAGTGATAATAATTCTCAAGGCTATAAAGGCTGCAGTAAATTTCAGCTGGGATTGTTTTAATGCACTACTGTTCAGCTTGTCCTTAATGACAGCTTCCCACACGGGCCCCAGCATCACCAAAACCACAGCTGTTACATCGACAACACTCAGCATCATATTTATTCTTTTAATAATAGTCTCAACAAACCAAAAAGCAAAGGCCTGTTTCTGTGTGTTCAGGTGTTTTGTCTGTTAGCAAAATATTTCACAAATCACTGAATGGAGTATGATGAAATTCTCAGAGATTAATCCTTGYACTGATTAACTTTTAAAGCCACCTCCATTAAAGATTCCTGCCACGCCTAAGTGACCTAAAAAACACATTAAATGTCTATAATTCAGTCAACTTTGCATCTATTGACCTAAGATTTTATGTGATAGTAGCTGGGACTGAGTCCCAACACATATTCTGAATCCTGCACAGATGCTGTTTAAAAAGTTACCATCTTAGTCTAAAATTCAGGCATTAAAGGCAACATGCACTTCTTAGATGAATGCTAGAGGTTTGGTTTTAAATCGATTAATTGGTTCCCCTTTTTTAAAACTTAAGTGACACAAATCAGTGCATCTGTGATAGAAGGATGTCTCTTTTGCTAAAAAGTAAATCACACCTGCAATCAAAATTTTGATTGGTTCTTACGCTATAGGTTGCAACTCAAATTTGAAAACTCTTCCAATGCATAAGACCTTTTCAGATGTATAAAATTTTGTTTTATTCAGCTTCAGTCAGCTTTGTTTTTAGCTTCAKTAAGTTTTTAAGAATAGCCAAGGTGGTGGAAATGCACGAAAAAAGCCTCAATCTGACTCTGATGAGAAGTTTACATCTGTCAAAACCTGTAAATAAAGCACAACACTGACGTCTGGGGCCCAGCCTATCAGAACCTGCTTCAGCTGAGTCACGTGAACACTTCTAAAGTCTGATTGGCAGGCAACAAGTCCAGAGGAGAACCGGTGGCGGAGAGGCAAGCTCGTGCGTAAAAGCCGAGGTGCGTAAAAGTCACACAGCTGCGCAAAGTCGGAGCCAATATCTCGGTGCTCAGCCTGTTCTTCATCCAGAGAGTCACTACACCCAAGCAGCGGGGAGAGCGGAGGGAAAACTGGTTGCATGGCACCACAGTCGTGCGTAATGAATCCTGCGCAGGGATCCCCGGCTGCTCCTGGAGAGACAGCGCCTGAGGACAGAACCTCCGTCGGAGAGCTGGACGTCGAGTCGCCTGTCAGAGGATGCAAAAGCAGGAGTTCGGATCTTCCTTTCAGCGTGGAGTCCCTCATGTCGGACAGAAGCCCTTCGTGCAGGAGCCTCCACTCCCCGGAGCCCGGCTCTGGATGCGCCCGGACGGAGGAGTGCGCGTCACCGAGGGGCGTCTGTGCGTCCAAACTGGAAGCGGTGGAGCTTAGTGAGACTGAAGCCTGGCTTCAGGGTCCATCACCTATAAGTAGGTGTAAAATATTTTCTTTTTAAAAATAACCATCTGGTTTAGGTATGATCTTTTTATTTAAAAAGTTTAGACTAATTTTGTTAAACAGGACAGTCGTCTGGAATAATAAATTTGTCTAARTGGCTTATTTTAACAGAGATTAAATGGATTTAATTTTACACGTTGATTGTGAAGTTTTAAAAAATATTACTAATTAAATAACCTAAACGTGACCAGCAGATATCAGTTTGTTCTCTCTCTATATTGCCTCAAAAAATTTTTTACAAAGACACACAAATATTTTTTATAAAATATATTATTACAAGTTATTTATGTGTTTCCGTTCATCTGCCCTCCAGGACTTCCCAGCCCGGCCCAATGCAACCTGCGGAAACACAAAAACAACCGGAAACCCCGGACCCCCTTCACCACCTCSCAGCTCCTCTCCCTGGAGAGGAAGTTCCGTCAGAAACAGTACCTCTCCATCGCGGAGAGAGCCGAGTTCTCCAGCTCCCTGAACCTCACAGAGACCCAGGTCAAGATCTGGTTTCAGAACCGCCGGGCCAAGGCCAAGAGACTGCAGGAGGCCGAGCTGGAGAAGATCAAGCTGGCGTCCAAGCCGCTGCTCCCGGCCTTCGCCTTCCCCTTCCCTCTGAGCGCACCCATGGGCGCACCGGCTCTTTACGGGGCTCTGAACGGACCCGGGCCGGTCCTGTCGATACCGGGACTTTTCAGTAGACCTTACGGGATGTACTACTTGTCTTAAAATCAACTCTTTTTAAGCTGCGTTGGAAGGAGAGCAGCAAATAAACACTGGGGGGAAAKKAAKAAAAAAWKWRTTTTTTWAATTAAATTTTGTATGATAAAATCTACATATATTTTTGGAAAGGTAAAAGAAAACAAATGTGCAGAAATACTTTGAAGAAAATTTCAGATTTCATTTGAAAATGTTGAAATCTTGAAGGAAAAACGGGAATTTTCAACAAAACTAACACGTTTTCTTTTATGTAAAGCTATAGTAAATTATTTGTTCATGAGGTCATTTTGTAAAAAAAAAAAGTTTTTCTGGTGAAATTTTCAGTCATTGTCTTTTTTTTTCAGCTGAGACATTATTTTATTATCACGAAAAAAGAAACTTTTGAAATTGTCTATGAATTGAAAGTTAACTCATCAGAATTAAAATTAACTAATTTGAATTAATTAGTTTTAATTAGCAGCCATACTGCCATGAACACGAAAGCTAAGCAGCAGTGGACCTGGTTAGTACTGGGATGGGAGACCACTAATGTGAGTTGTGCCCTCATAGAAAACCTCAATTTTTATTAAAGGCATTTTGAGAGCAAAAAATAATTTTTAAGGGCTAATGATGATTTTATATATACAATAACCAAATCACGTTTTTTTTAAAAATCCCACAATTATATTGTGTAAATTCTTTCAAAATTTCTCAAGGGAAAAATAAACAAATTAACTGAATAAATCATAGATTTTTATAAGCTGGAAAAGAATAAATCTCAAACAAGTCTTAGTGAAACTGTCTCCTGCAGAGAAATTCTCAAATATGGACCAACATTTTACCTTATATGGACTGGACGTGATACAAAATTAGCTGCTTGGTGACATCACCCTGAGCAAGGTATTTTGGATTAAACAGAGAATGTCTAAATTCATGATAAATCTGCTGTAAGGTCCGCTGCTTTTACAGGTTTAACTTTTAACGCTGTTATGATAGAATGTAAAATCTTTTCTATTTTTTATATGCTCAAAGTGGTTAAAAAAATGACTGAAAAACTCAGTTGTGTACAGCAGATTGTATATTTTAAAGACTGAAAATATATTTTGTAAAATTATTAGGTTGGGTGAAACTTCAGCYGGTGTTCTTGTCAAAACATTCTGGTGAATTTGAAACTGGAATAAAACAAATCGAAGTTCTGCTTTTTATCTGTCACAAGATGGAAATAACGCAAACAGAAACTTCTCCTCTAACAACTGAATATACGACCGTTTAAATCAAATTTGCTGTGCAAAACAAAAGGAACTTTATTTTTCATGTCATTAAATACACTGAAGCTGTTTGAGTTCTAGAGGCAGAATGTTGTCGTCTGTAAACAGCTGRTGTGTTTCATTTCCTCCTGTTTTGTCGTCCTCTGAAGCCTCGGACTGAGCCGTGACCGAAGCACACAGTTGAAGGAACTCTGGAGGGGGAAAACAAAAAATCACAAACACTTTTTATAAGAAAATCTACAGTAAATGTTTTGGGAAAAGTCAGAAAACAAACATATTTTTTTTCTAGATGAATCCAGACACAAAACGACACATGATTTACATAAAGAAGATGAGACTTTGATGTTTTTGGCAAAAGGTTAAAGGACTTTAAGGACTGGGAGCTGACCAACCTGTAGGAGTATTGTGGTTTTGGAGGAGCTGGGTTTGTTTCTGAACCCTGAGCTGCAGCAGCTTCTTCACCGGACACATGCGTCTCCATGGATTCCTCCTGCTCAGGATCATCAGACGGCACACGGCACAAAACGTCTCCAACACCCTCGGACTCGCACACTTCCACCTCCATGGCCGCATCTGTTGTCTGCTGTCTCTTTGCTTCTCTATTTAAAAAAAAAGAAAAAAAAAACAGTATTTGAAAATATAAAACCACGTCTGCTGTCATCACACTTTATAATTTTAATAAAGCTGCAACTCAAACCCTTGTGCATCTTTACACGTTCACACAAACTTGTGGAACATTCAGCTGGAAGCTTAAACATGATTCAGCAGATTCCCTCCACCTTTCATGCTATAACTAGATCATCCTATAATAACAAAAATAGTTGTCATTTGGTCAAAACAAAGTATGTGTTGTGACCGACTCTCAGCTACTACTACACCAAATTTTTGCTCAAGATCTCTGAAACTGATAGAATTATAGCTATTCTTGTACTTACTAAAACAAGTTAGCTGTTGTGGCCATTTTGAATTGACTTGGCTCCAAAAGTTAAACAGTTGTGGAGGTACATCCAATGATTACTTCCTGAAAGTTTTATTAAAATCCACCAAGTTATTCATGATATATTTTGCTAACAGACACACTGTTTACTTTTGCCTTTCAGCTGCAATCAAACGAGCGACTACGAGTATTTTGGTGCCACCTGGTGAAAAAAACAGGACAACATTACCCTTTCTCCTTTTTGTTTTTGTCAAATCTGAAGTCTGGAGGATACTTGTGAATTCTTTTTAGATGGTCTTTCCTTTGTACGCTCGTCCTAAACTTCAGTCCACATCCCTCCACCAAGCACAGGTACTGGAAAATACAGCAAAGGGACAAAACAAATCAGCTGAAACACAGCTTTAAAGGGCTAAAGTCGGAGTGCGAGAGTCTGGAGCGTACCATGTCTTGTTTTTGGGCGAGAATGGTGAAGAGAGAGTCATGCCACTCCTGGATGTGGATGTCCAGGAGCCGGGCGCTTGGCAGCGAGCGGTGGCAGGAGCAGCACACGTGCCGGTGCAGGGAGTTGTAGTGGTGCTCGTAGTCGTCCAAAGAGTTGATGACGGCGCCGCAGCCGGAAATGTGGCAGGCGAACTCTGACACGCTGAGGGACAAATGGAGGAGAGGTTGACAGCCGGTCCATGAATTAGCTGGAGATCATTTGAACTTGTTTTTCATTTTAGAAACAAGCAAACAGCAGAAACAACTGCAGCACACTTATCAGTGTTGGTATGTACAGCGGGTAAAATAAGTATTGAACACGTCACCATTTTTCTCAGTAAATATATTACTAGAGGTGCTAATG